GCCCCGCCCCGCCGCCACAGCGGCGGGGCGGGGCGACCGCGCGCCACCTCCCTACGCCGGCACCTCCCGGCTCGCGCTCATGAATATGGACGAAGCGGGCGGGGAATCCCGAGCGGGCCCGGCCACGCCTCTCCCCCGGGTGGGAGAAAGGCGGGGGGGGGGGGGGGGGGGAAACCACCTCCTTAGGGGCGGGGGGGGGGGGGGGAGAGCCAAGGGGCCCCCCCCCGGGGGGGAGAGGGCGGCAGCCGTGAGGCGGGGGGCCGCCACCGCCGGCTTCCCGCCGCTTCTCCTCAGCCTGGCGCCCGCTGCTCTCCCGGGGGCCGCCTCGCTGCTTCAGGGCTGGGGCTGTGGGCCCCCCTGGCTGAGGGCCTGGTGGGGGTCCCTGGGGGCTGCGCCTCACCCCGCCTTGTCGGGTGCCCCCCGGGGAGGGTGGCGGGAGCCGCTTCGGGCGGAGAAACCCCGAGTCTGGAAGTCTGTCCAGTCCCCGAAGGCTGTACAGGCCTTTGTCCCAGAAACTCGGAGGAGAACTTCTCCTCCACCCTCTGTGTGGTGAAACTGCTCGGCAGATCCTTTGCCGTGCTGTGACCCTTCCTCCCCCAAACCTGCTCCCCTCTTCCTCCAAACCCCGGCCTCACTGCAGGCTCTGAGTGAGGGCAGACCCTGCACTGCAACCAGCATATCCCCAGAACCTCAGGATCCCGCCCCGAGGTACCGCGAAATAAGGGTGCTGGGTACAGATGGCTGTCTTTTACTGAAACTCTGCTTTCTTTCTCCGCTTGGAAGAAAACAGCACTATCGCAGCTCTTCCCTCATGTTTTACCACTGTTAAATATGTGCTGTTTCCCAAAACTGTTAAGGAGCAGGAGAATCGGGGAAGGAAATGTGGTTTCGGACAGATGCATGACTTGTGGCTTAGCCATTTTGCAGTTGGGATATCTAAAAAGTTTCTTGTAGATTCTCTGCTGTGCAAAAGGGCTTGAATGTACACCTTTTGATCCGGTCACCGACATGATCTGTGATCTCTACCCTGCTCCTCATTCTTAAGACATCTGAAAGATCATCGTCTCTCTCTCTTGGAGGGGAAAGGTGATCGGGGGGGGGGGGGAGAAGCTGATATGTACAGAGCAAATCTCATCTTAGGAAGCTCAGCTCAAAACCAAAGCAGGTTTAGTTTCAGGTTTTGTAGCCCCTCTGCAGAACAGCAGCTGGGAATCTACTCAGTTATCCTGTGCCCCAGTAAACTGGGAATGCCCTACATTTTTTCAAGGTCCATGCCACTCTTCCTCTTGGTTTAACAGTACTAAGCTGCCTAGTTTGTTTTATATAGCACTTTCCCGGGCCAGGCCACTTATAGAAGATGTGGCTAATAGTCTCGCAATAGAAACAGCTACTTAAATGTTCCTGCAAGCCAGGTCTACCTTCGGTCCTCCAAGCATAACTGCTGTGTCGAGACCCTGCTCAGCCAACACAGTTGCTCTCGGCCTTCAGGAATCTAGTCACTCTGTGCACACTGCCACCATTTGTCCACTAACAAAACAGTCATTTCATCCTCTCACTAGACTGTCTGGAGTCTTTACAGGAGTTCATTTTCCAGCCATTTTTTCCCCATGCAGTCCGAACCACATGGACGTTGGGCTTGTGAACTGAGAAATTACTTGCACGCCTAGCAGAGAGAGTGGGAAGGAAAATGAACTATGCTAATCCAGAGCGCTCAGATGTGTGAATCGGGTTGGTCTCAAAGTTCATGTGAATGACGTATATAAACAAGATTTAAAAAGAAATACAACTCTTAGTTTGTCTTACAAGAGCCTCTTTCTCTATTTCTGCTCTTGCACTGTGTAAAACCTCCTCTAATAGAGTTCCTGTGGCCAGGCTGGCTTCTTCTACCACAAGTTTCATCTCTCATTATCCCTGACACATTCATTAGTGACACATTCACTAAACAGTGCTTAAAATTAACTGGTTCCCATGCCCAGACTTGCCTCTTCTTCAAATTTGATTCTCTCTGCAAACCCTTTGTTCTCCTTCTGCCTTGCCTGCACTTCTTCGGATAGGAGTTCACCGATTTCTTCTGAGAAAGTACAGATTAAATTCAAACCAATTTAGTTTCTGTTTAATCTCTTCTCCCAGTGATCTTCAAAGCCTTTCTTGATGCCTTTCTCAACTTGAATTTTGCTTTCTCCTCCTGCTTCTCTTTGCTTTTCCTTCCCTTCCTGCCTGCCACTTTCTCTTCCCCAGCTGCCCCCTCACACATGACAGGTGTAGAAATCCCTCATCTGCTGTCTTCCCCTCACCCCAGTAATCCCATCTCTTGGTCTCCTTTGTAATTAAGGTTACTCCATCCTTTACTCTCCTCAGCCTCTTACACTTTTCATGACACCAATAAATGTTCTAACTCCCTCGATCTTAAAGCAGGTGACTCCCCAAGCACCAGAATTAAGAAAGCCTGGTTCCCCACACGTTTGTGCCTCGTGGTTTGCTAACTTTAGGGTCTAAGGTGCAAGCTTTAACTGAAATCTCTTCCAAAGTTGTCATGTACATAATGTCTCTCTTTAGTCAGTGGATGCTGTTGCCTAAAAGCTCCCACTGCAGACTTTCCATCATTCAGGGAGTACATGATACATCTTCCCTATGCCACAACTTATTGGCATGAAAGGTACAGGAACTAAATTATTCTCACAGCTTTAATCCTATCTGGAGTAAGTCGCGAGGCTCAAATAGCATTAAACGACATGGATACACCCCCAAATATACGTGTATGACATGACTGTATACCTCATGACATGACCATGTAAAACTTGTTCCCATAAGAAAGTAACCTAAAAATCACACCTGATGTAACTCGTGCCTTCCAGCTGCCCATCTCTAAACTCACTGAATGCACTCTTCCCAATCACTGTCAAGAGGTCCTTGCTTTTCATTTTATCTTCAGTTCTCTCTGATACAGCTTCTGCAGGCTCGAAAGCTAAGCTTAATTTTTAAAATATCACAGCTGAAATGACTCCGGGAGATGAAGATTTAAGAAAAGCACTAAAAATGACAAGGCTTTTGAGAGAAGCCTGCAACATTTGGAAAATAGAAGGAGCTGGGAGGAGAGGAGCAGCAGGGGAAAAGAATGAAGAAGTAACTGAGACAAGTGATTCAAAGGCAAACAAACAAACAAAGAAACATAACAAAAAAGGGAAAGGATAGGTAACCTTTTACTTCTTTGTTTCTAATTGTCCAAACAAACTGTGTTCTCCCTCGTCAGTTCTGCAAAAGGACAAGGGTTCAATACATAGGACAGAAGACAGCAATCATGAGGAAATTCTTCATACTACGCATTTTATAAGGGTTGTTACACAACTGATGTAGTTTTGTGCTATGAACTTCCATTGGTATGGGTGTACTTGCTTAAATGCAATAGTGAGAGGGCTGATTTTTTTTCTAAAAAAGCAAAAGCTGCATGCCAAGGTGAATGAAATGCCATTTAAATATTTTGTAATCGCAAATTACAAGTACGTAAAAATGAGGTTCTGTAATATTTAGACTTGTAACTGCAAATAACAGAATACTCACATTCTCAAACCTCTGTTACTTTCTCCACACTGTACATATTAAATACGCTTATTAAGTATAGCTCATTACTTAAAGCATGCACAGATATGTTTGTAGGGTCAGGACCTTACTTGGTTACTGAGAACAGTCCCAGATATATAAGAGCATTCCTCAGTTGGACCAAATATTTGCAAACACTAAGCAATGAAGGTCCCGTCTCACCAAATGAGAAAAGCACCCTCCCAAATCTATTCTCTGAAACACACTTTCAAGTGCAATTTAGTGATAGTAGGATTGTCTAAATATATTGGAGGGCAAAACTGTATCCTACATACAGTTGCTAGACAAATTAGGCTTACTCTGACATCCTTTATTAATTTCCAAGTTCTAAATATTACAACTGTGTGCATAATATAACATTCATATGCACTTAATGTATTCAGAAAAAGGAGACTTCTCATGGCTCTTGATTGCGTACTTTGCAACTCTTTCATAATTAAGCTTTCAAAGGAAGCATTTACACAGAGGTGAAGGGATGGGCTTCCATGCAGGTGGCGGTAATCTGCACTCATAACTTACTGAATAAAGACTGTCATTGCAGTGATAAGACTGGAATAATCTAAACAGAGCAGGGTTTTCCCTGGATTCCCATAAAAATCAGGTGAGTTTTTAAGTGCTGATCTCTTAACAATGGGAGGCCTCTGCAGCAAACCAGTTTCTTCTTTCATCACTCCAAGGGAAAAAAGTATGTAATAAGACATGTCAACGACTTAGATGTCCTCTGGCTGTTTGGAGAGCATTCCAAAAAACAACCTCTGTGTGCCCTGTTTGCAGGCACAGCACATTCACATCTGCAGCCACAACTTTACGTGGTACAGGAGGAGCCTGGGAAAAATGTGTGACTTATTTTATAATGGATATGGCTTTTAAGATTTTAAGGCTGAAATTAATGAGTTAACTCAGCCTAAATAAATGTCAAGCTTTGCTTGAACTAGATCATGGAGATCAGTGTAACTCAGCTGGGAACACTCCCTCTGGAGAAATTAAGAGCTCATGTCCCACAGCAGGACCTGGGCTCGGACCAAGAGCTGGCACTGCAGTGCAGTACTACTGCAAGGAGTTTCTGTGTGGGGATCAAGATGCCATCCTTTTGATGAGCTGTTATTGTCCTATGTTTTTCCACCCTCTCTGTTCAGTAGAAAAACCAACATACTTAAAGCTTCCTTCAAAAAAGGAAAAATTATAAATGTCTTATTCAACATTTCTCCTCTTGTTAAATCAAATTTGAATTTCCAGAGCTCTACATTAGCTGAATCACTGGCTGCATACTACTCACTCCATCTGTTTATATGGTTGAGTCACTGCATTACCAATA